GAGGTCCAGGACGAGGCTGGCTCGGAACGAGAGCGGCGCGGCAGCCCCCGCACCACTGCCACTGCCGCTGCGGGCGGCATCCTGGACCTGCGAGATCCACGGCAGCGGCTGCGCGGGCGCAAAGGGCAGCAGGGCGTACTGGCGCAGCGCCATGACGTCGTCGGTGTAGACCCCCGCGCCGAGGCGTTGCGACGCCGCGGCGCGCTCGGCGACGTGGCGCCGCAGCATCAGGGTGGCGCGGTCGGCGTCGGACTCGTCGAGGTACTGGAGGCGCACGTCGAGCGCCGTGCTCGACGACGAGGGGAGCACCTCGATAAAGCAGCGCGAGGACCGAGAGATGAACCGGATCACCGCGGCGGACAGCTGCACGTCGTCGCCGGCGCCGTCGCCGTTTGCGGTGGGGGGCAGCTGGATGCGCTCCTGCTTCTCAGAGACGGTCTGGCGGGCGGGCGGGCGGGCAGGCAAGAAGGGATGCAAGAGAGACGAGAGGCGTCGGGGGATGGTCAGATGAAGGGGTCCCCGGACTGCCCAGAGAACCAGAGGAAGAACAGTAGCACAACGGCGTGCTCACCTTTCGGAAGTCATCGGCCCACTGGCGCATCGAGAGCGTGTCGGCGGGCTTGCCGCGGACCGAGAAGCCCAGGGCGGGCGACTGGCTCTGCTGCTGTTCCCCCTCCTGCTGCTGCTGCTGCTGCTGCTGCTGCTGCTGCGCCTGAGGCAGGATGACGACGTTTCTCCTGGCCGCCTCGCTGCGCACGGCGGCAGGGCCGGCCGAGAGGAGGAGGAAGAGGTGTGCGGGCGGGAAGGCGAGGAAGAGGTTGACCTTCTGGCGTTCCTCGTTGCGGAGGCGCTCGAGGCGCTCGGCGACGTCCTCGAGGCCGAAGCGCTGTACGAGGATGCGGCGGACGAGGTCGTCCTTTTTGACCTTGGTCGAGTAGCTGCCCTTGAGGCCGGCCTCTTTGGCGAGGCGCAGCAGCTGGTCGCGCGTGAACGAGGCCGAGATGGCGTCGCGCGTCTTTGTCCACAGGCGGGCGCCCTGAGCGTCGGTGAGGCGCAGGACGGGGGGGCGGTTGGCATCCCCGCCGTCGTCGTCGTATTGTGCGTCGGTGTCTTTGGATTGATCACGCTGCGATGATCGGGGCGAGAGGCGGCGAGAGGCGGCGGGTCGGAGCGAGTCGAGGTACTCGAGCGTGGGTGCAGCGTCGAGCTGGTCGGATTTGAGCTGGAGTGCGTCTGGGGGGATGGTGGATCGTTTGGAGCGGGCGTGGTCGCGCAAGTGGTCGCGGGCGCGGGCATGGTCGCGGGCGCGGGCATGGTCGCGGTCGCGGTCGATGCGCGGGGATGCGCTGACAGAGAGGCGACGATGGGACGAAGGCGTATATGGCGCATTGGCGGCGGCGAGTGGGCGTGTGGCGGTACGCGCTGTCACCGCTGCTGTTGCAGTTGCAGTTGCAGATGCGGTTAGAGCCAAAGAGCGGAGAGCCGACCTGCCGAGGTGGCACGGGTAGGAGGTGCAGGGATGCGCCATGGTGGGGACACGTCGATGCCCACGCGGCGGCGGTGCAGCTTGGACCTGGACGAGAAAGGGGCTGGGCAGTGGGAGCGGGCCGACGAGGAGGAGGGGGAGGATGATGGCGGTGAGAGGGATCGAGAGAGGGAGAGAAGGGCCGCCCGCCCGCCACGGTGCGATTTTCTTCGTTTTTTCCGCGCCGCTTTTTCTGGCGGTGGGTGCGACGGCAGCAAAGGCGGGCAGCGGGTGATGGAAAAACTCCACATCGCCTGTCGCCGTCGTCGTCGTCGTCCGCGTGGCAGCGGGCGCCGCTCCAAAGAGGGGCGCGCTGCGTATGCTCCATGGGCCACCTCTCTGACCCTCCCAACGCAGCCAGTCAGTCGGCCATACAGATACTCCAACGACCCCAACCACAACCACGCAAGCACGGCAACAGCGTCCTCGTCGGCATTCTATTCCAGTCTATTCTCATTCCTTCCTTTCTTCCGCACCGTCGACGCGGCCCAGCTCGGAGGGGCGGGGCTGAAAAGCATCTCGGTGAACCCGCCCCTTTCAACCTCGTACTACCCCGACGACGACGACGACGACGACGACGACGAAGACTGCTCCCGGTCATCGGCGAGATGCTCGCCCTCTCCCGCGCCATGGCCGAGGCCGACGGTCGACTGACTCTCCCACAGGTCCCAGTAGAGGCCGCGCTGCGCCATGAGCTCGTCGTGCTTGCCCTGCTCGTAGACGCCGCCGTTCTTGAGCACCACAATGTAGTCGCTGTCGGAAATCGTACGCAGCCGGTGCGCCACTGTCGCAGCAGAGCGGGCGGAATAGCGAGCGAGCCAACGATCGAACCAACGCAGATAGAGGGCAGCCAAGAGGGTTGCGTGCGTCAGTCGAGGCCACGCTGCGGTACACGACACAGCCACCCAACGCGCGCCCATGCCAAGGCGTTCAGACGCACCAAAGATCGATGTCCGCTTCGAGTCCACCAGGTTCGAGTTGATGTTGCGCATCAGCTCCGTCTCGGTGTAGCTGTCCAGCGCAGACGTCTGTAGGGTGTGGCAGCGGGACGACGAGGGCAGGGGAAAGGATAGCCAAACAGGCGAGGATAGCCAGGCAGGCAAGCATCGAATCGAATCGAATCAGCAATCATGCGAGCATGCCACGCTCCATAGCAGCACTGTCGAGGCCCCCACCGCCACCGCCATCGCCACCGCCGCTGCCACCGCCACTCACCGCCTCGTCAAAAAAGAGAATGCTCGGGTTCTTGAGGAGCAGCCGGGCGATGGCGAGGCGCTGCTTTTCGCCACCAGAGATCATGAGGCCGCGCTCTCCGACCTTGGTCTCGTAGCCGTCGGGCAGGTTGCGCACAATCTGGTCGACCTTGGCGGCGCGGGCGGCCGCCTCGACCTCGGCGTCGGAGGCGTCGAGGCGGCCGTAGCGGATATTGTGGCGGATGTCGTCGTTGAAGAGCGGCGTGTCCTGCGGCACGACGCCAATCTGGCGGCGCAGGCTCGACAGCGACACGTCGCGGATGTCCTGCCCGTCGATGAGGATCCGGCCCGACTGCGGCTCGTAGAACCGGAAGAGGAGCCGGAAGATGGTAGACTTGCCGCAGCCCGACGGACCCACAAACGCCGTCTTGAGCCCGGCGGGGATGGTGAAGCTGGCGTTGCGGAAAATGGGCCGGTCCGGGTGGTAGCCAAACGTGACGTTTTCGAACCGGATCTCGCCCCCCCTCACCTCGAGCGCCGGCGCCCCCGGGACGTCGCGCACCGCCACCTCGACGTTTTCCAGGTTAAACATGGTCTCCATGTCGACGAGGCTCTGGCGCAGCTCGCGGTACACGGTGCCCAGGAAGTTGAGCGGCAGCGAGAGCTGGAAGACGAGCTGGTTGACCATGACCAGGTCGCCCACCGTCATGGTGCCGTTGAGCACGCCCTGGGCCGCCAGCAGCATCATGACCGTCAGGCTCGTCGAAAAAATGGCATTCTGGCCCGAGTTGAGCGCCGCCAGGCTCGTGGCCACCTTGACGCTCGACTTTTCGTAGTCGGCCATTGCGGCGTCGTACTTTGCGATTTCGTGCTTCTCGTTGTTAAAGTACTTGACCGCCTCGTAGTTGAGCAGCGAGTCGACCGACGTCGTGGCGGCGCGGTTGTCGGCGGCGTTGGCCTCCTTGCGGAAGCGGGTGCGCCAGCTCGTGGTGCGGATCGTGAACCAGGCGTACGTCGCCATCGTCACGGCCGTCACGGCGGCGAAGCTGGGCCCGCACTTGTAGCTGAGGATGCCGCACACCATCGAGATCTCGAGCGCCGTCGGGACAATGTGGAAGACGATCGAGGTGAGGAGGAACGAGATGCCCTTTGTGCCGCGGTCAATGGCGCGCGTCAGGCCGCCCGTCTGGCGCGTCAGGTGCCAGCCCAGATCGAGGCTGAGCAGGTGGGTAAAGACGCTGCGGGCCACGCGGCGGATCGAGCGCTGGGCGACGTTGGCAAACACGGCGTTGCGCAGCTCGCTAAACGCCGCCGCTCCCACGCGCGCCAGGCCGTACCCGAGCACGGCGCTGCCCGCCACCACCCACACCGTGTTGGGGTTGGTCAGGTCGAGGGGCGCGCTCGCTGCGTCGTTGAGCTTGTCGACGATGGTCTTGAAGAAGAAGGGCACTTGGACGTTGAGCAGCTGCAGAGAGAGAGAGAGAGAGAGAGAGAGAGAGAGAGAGAGA